CGATTGCGTGCAGCCATCTATTTAACAATTCTATGGGCGTACTCACACTAGCTGTATCTTAAATGTACCTGACCTCTTTTACGCCCGTACCTGGATGCATCTGACCACAATCACGTCCATAAACAAGTAAAAAAGTCCTAGAGTGAGTATGCCCTGTGTGTAAACTAACTGCGCAACAACAGCCTGGTAGTACTCCCTGCGTGTGGCAGACTGGTACTGCAAGGACATGACAGCAATGCGAATGACGATAAACCAGATTGCAGCATTCCGTAGAAATCTCGCCAACTCTGAGCCCGACGGAAAGCAGATCGCGACCAGAGATAGCACCGAATGGGTACGAGCAAAGCATTGGCGTACACCTGTGTAGAAGCACCCAAAGGAGAACTTGGTGTATGACACTGTATGTTCAGTTAGCAACGGAACCAATCGTCCTTATCGTTCTAAAATTCGAGCTCCTGTTTTTTTCTCATTTACGAGGGCTTGATTTTTTTTAATGTCGAAACATCATCACATGCTTGCAGCCCGTTCAACTGCACCTCGGAGACACGGTCGGAGATATTTCTAAGGACTGGCTGAATCCAGTGATCTCCTTTCACGACAGGCTACAGTCCCCGGAATGAATGAGTTCGTCATTCCAGGTGTCTTTCATGCTCCACGCATGTAATAAGTCGTGTCTGTCTCGTTGCGGATATCTGCACCGTCCTACTTGGCTACACCAAAGTGGGCAATTCATTCGGTGACTTGCACGGTCGCCCTCACTAAACCAACAAGAATCTGGACTACAATTCACAATGAGTCTGACTGAGGCCAGGTACGACATCACATTTGACACCTAAGGAAGGTACTGCCCAACTATGAAGTACATCAGCAGATCAGCTGCAGATGTTATAATCATACGTAAATGAGTTTTGGCTGGTACCAACCACTCGCTTATCTACTTCTGGATTTATGCGTGTCATCCTTGCGCAGGGGCCATGCTAATCTTCTCTGTATCGTTCCAATTTTAACGGATGTCCCGAAGGACATCGATTATCTACTTCTAATAACGTAATTGACCCAATTCTAGATCATCCTCTGCAATCATATAACTATCAAAAGTAAGCAATTGTTCGTCAAAAGGTGCTAGTGGCAAAGGTACGCCTTGTGGTAATAATAAAAAACTCAAAACATGAAGTCCATGGGTTTGACTGAACATTTTAGGCATCTCGTTTGATGAAAAATGCTACGAAGTCCGAAAACTTGGATCTCCAGCTTATGCTACGGCGCTTGCCATGCGATTTGCGCAGCACTAAGAGGCGGCAAAAGTTGCTTCGCTTGTAGTCTCTGAGGCTCCTCTTCGATCAAACTATGGTGAGCCTGCTGATTGATTGACCAATGAATTTGGAACGTCCAACTCTAAGGCGTTTCCAGAATATAGCGAAGTGCGTGAAACTGTCATGTTGCCATGAGAGGGACCCATCTTGAGCCCACACAATAAATCCAAGAGCTCCGTACAAATTGAAAGACACATCGCTTGAATAGGCGAGAAGAAAAAGCACCGTGAGGTGTGAAGCTTACTCGTACTAATTACGATTCCGACTATTGAGGATAATGGGGATAAATACAAATATCGGATTATGGATTTAGTGAAATATTTCACATTTTCAATGATTCGTTTTCTTTTAGGTATTTGGCGAATCTTTTAAATTAGGAAGAATATCCTTATTATGTTAGTGTCAATTGAGTTAATGTTACTCGCTGTCAATTTCGATTATTTCAAACAAGAAACTTTGAATGCTTTTGAATCAATGGTGTTAATTCTACCCTCTACTTGTAGTATGCATTTCATGATCTCATCTTATGATTTGATTGCCATGTATTTAGGCATCGAACTTCGAAGTACACCCTCTTCTCGCTCTGCACCACCAATTTCAACAATGCCGCTGTCCTATATTGGCGCATTGCGCCCAGACTAGAGACGACCAACTCCTACGACCTAGACTCCTAGCTACAACAGGTCCGCTTTGAAGACTCCGTGTAGACGGCCAGCTTCCCTTTCACAAAGTTGATTGCCTCAACATATCGACCTCTCTCCCTGACTTCCTCCAGTCCCCTTCTTCCAAGTACCTCCGCCTTTCTCCTCCGTCTATGGCCACCAGCAGCCCGACTATGGATGCTGCACCTCTAGTCCTGCTGGACACAGCAGCTGCCTCATGCCCCTCCAGCACCCTTTGTCCTTCTCTGGCCCGACTCTCCTCCAGCAAGCGAGCGCTCCAGCAGCGCTGCGGCGTCCAGCCAGCCAGTACGCGTGGGTGAGACAGCCTCCCGGTCTTTCGTGCTGGCTGCGAAACATTCGGCCTGGCTGGACTGGCCGCGCCCTTTCCCAGTCCTTGAGCCGGGCTCCTTCCGGAAGCCTAGGGCCTAACTGCCTGAGCACTGGGCCTCAGAGTCTGTGCCATGGGCCTCAGCCTGCGGAAAGGCCGCGCCCTGTCCCAGGTGGGCCAAAATTGAATCTCTCTGGCCCTTGCCCGGCTGGGCCCCCCGGGCAACCAAGGTGATCTGGGTGGCCCGGTTGGTAATGCAGCTCTCTCTTGGCTATCAAAAGAAGGATATCAAAAGAAGGAAAAAAAAAAAAAAAAGCAGTACCATTGCATGCTCTTCAGCAGACCCTGAGTGGAGGAGGGAAATGAAAAGCTGAAATGTGGAGCTGCTCTTTCCAGCCCCCACTTCAAAGTTCAAACTCCATTCCCCCTCACCCGCATCTTGCAAAAGGAAACCGACCCTCCTACCGAACCTTGCAGAACTTGGTCTGAATCCAGGTCACTATTCAAGCTTTGTTGTGGTACGCTCACACGGACCTGACACAGTGGCATGATCCGGGAGGGAATGTCTTGGAGATTGTTTTTTCGACTTTTATTGTCATTCTCAACGAACTGTAAATTGTTTGGTTGCAGATTGGAAAGCGGACTTGGCATTTTGGAGAAACTGAAGCTCAAATCCAGAAGAGCATGTCAGGTTCTCTCTGTCTCTCTCTCTCTCTCTCTCTCTCTCTCTCTCTCTCTCTCTCTCTCTCTCTCTCTCTC